CTCCTCCCCTGGCGTTTTTTCCTAGCGTTCTCCCTTCCTGTCCCTTCCCTTGTGCCAGCCACTTTAATGCATTCGCCTTCTCACCAGCAGCTCCTTCTCCGTTGCTCTGGGATTGTTTTGCCAACACGTTTGTTTGACCATGCAATTTGACCGGGCATTGCTGTCATCCTCTTGTGTGCCAGGCTGAGCTGGATAATGGTCTTTTGCTGCTTGAGGTGGGTATAATGTGGAGATTCTAGAAGACGTTTTGGTGACTAATTGTTCTATTTTATATACTTAAAGTCAGTTAGGTGCCATAATTTCCTTGTTCTGGGAGGTCTCTGTATATAAATGCTAGTGAGGTCATGGTAATGAGGCAAGTCAGTGCAGTATTAAATGCTACTATCTGAACTATTGGCTCCTCCATTGCTGAAAGGTGGGAGGATGGTTTTCCAAGTAGGCTCCATGGAAACTCTGTGTAATGTGTTTGATTATCCAACGTTGTCATTTTCAAAGGAACCAGTCAAGATTAACAGGGCCTAAATGTACCATCCCCTAAAAATAACTCTGGCTTTCCAGCTCCTGCTGATGGTGGCAGAGATGTGAGAGCAGAGGAATGATGCTCCAGTCGAAAGAATTCAAAGGAAATGAATTGTAAAATGTCTGTGGCCAAGGCCACCCCTTGCCAGCCCTGGAAGATGGGTTCTCCTCTACCAGTACCCAGGTGTGTGTTAATTGAGTGTCTCAGCACAATGAAGACAGAGAGCTTGATGTTCTGCATGGAAGCTGGGCTGCCATTGAAGACAGCAGCAGTCGGTCTGTTTTCTGATGACTGGCAAAGTGAGAAGCTTCCTGAATTCAACTAATGTCTATGTTTTTGTTTTCTTTTGGGTGAGAGAGCCAATGAGCCCTGCTAGCTGGTGACTTCTAGAACACGCTTGGGCTTGCACGAAGGACAGCCCAATCAGAGTCAGACTGTGGTGGCAGGACCCAAAGCTAATTAATGCCCTATTAGTAACTCATTTGTGGCTGAAGGGATTTCCCAAAGGCCAGGCACGGTTATGCTGTGCCAGTCTCTCTTGAGGCAGGTCTTGTTTGGCATAGATTGGACCGCATTCAGGCATGCATTCGTCCTCTTGCACTGCAGTTAATATTTTCTTGGGGACCTCTTTTAATTTTCAAGATGATGAAGTGTTGCTTTTGAAAGAAAAATCTGAGAAATGCTTCTTTTCAGAGAGCAAATCCCATGAATAACTGGATTCTGGAAGCCTGCTTTGCCAGTATTTCTCCACAGCAGCTCATTACTTTCAGAGCCTTGTTGGTATCGGCTGTCTTCTCGATGCCGTGTCCTGTGGCTCGCTCACCTGGAGCCGGCCCCACTTTTGGAAGGCAGAGTGCACACAGGGTCCCTGAAGCACGGTGCACACTCAGCGGCTCTGAAGGCTGCTCTTTGTCTCCATCAGGCTACCTGGAGTCAGCTCTGTGGCCAGCTGAAACCAGAGGCTGAAGCTGTTGGCTGGGCAAAGCAGGATGGCAGCAGGCAGCCGCTGTCACAAGGGCCAGAGCCTCTGCTGTGAGCGGGTGTTACTCATTTGGTAATACCAGTCTATTCCAGCTGAGGATCTGCCCCTTTGTTTTGTCTATAGGACAATTTGTTTTCAATTTTTGTTTCTGAAATGAAACTGTCAAGATGAAATTCACACTTAAAAAATTGAGGGAAACGGCCCTTTGTGCGTTTCTAACAATCCTCTTCAATGACTAAAGCTGGAGGAATTTTAGAAACTGCATTCACTTCCTACCTTTGGTTTCTTTTTGTGCTGTTCTCGTGCTTTATGAATTGAATTTCGAATCTAACAGGCCAAAAAGCTGTCAGTCCCAAATCTCCCTCCTGACCTGAGTGTAACCTAGGGACTTGCGCTCTGATGCTGAAGTCAGTCTGTGCCTTCTGTGGCAGCAGGAGCAGCACCTCCCTGTGTGGCACACGCAGCCATGTGCTGCCTTTCCAGCTCAAGAAGGAACACGTAGACCCTCCATGAAGGGGGGTTTCCCCAGGGCAGGAGACATCCGTCCTCCAGGAGTCTGCCAGCTACCCAGTGCAAGTAAAACAAAATCATGGTGAGAGAGCCTAACCAGGCTGAAATCTGCAGAGTCCAGCTGCCTGCTGTGCTCTGCCCTGGTGAGCTCCATCTGCTTGTGCTGCTGGGGAGGCTCCCTGCAGGGTCTCATGGGGTTGTCTGCTGAGCAGTGCTGCGGGGACCTGGTCCTCACCTGGGGCTCCTTCCAACTACAAAGAGCTGTCTATTGTCATTCCAAGAGGAAAAAAGAAAAGAACTTTTTTAAAATAATAACAGTATGCATCTCATTTTAATTTTAGTCCTAGAAACTACTTGGTGCTCATTACAAAGGAATTGATTCCTTAAACGAATGAAGCAGCAGTGCTGCTTGCTGTGTGGGACTGCTGACACTCTGACTCATGCTTTGCATCTCACAGGATCTGGCTTTTATGCTTCATTTAGGACACCAACGTCATTAGCATTCAGAAGGCTCCTGATTTTTTTTAATTTATTACCATACTGCTGTTACATTTTTTTTTTTTTTTAAGATGCAAATAATATTTGGATCAGAATCACAGCTCATGTTTTATTACCAAATCAAGGCATAATGGTTGCTTTCATTTAACTTTCAAGCGTTAGAAGAAATTCTAAATGAAAATGAGGTGTGGCTTTGTGTAGCAATGCGAGGAGCTGAGGCATTTGCCGGGTGCCTGGCTGGCTGCTGCCATGGAGCATCATTTGCTGGTGAGAGAGGTGAGGACATTCATCTTGTGCTGCACGTGGCTGGGACCTTGGGCTGCCTGAACCTCAGCATTTCCATTGCATGCAGAACAGCTGTGCCAGCCCTGCCCGTGTCCCTGGAGATGGCATGTTTGAACGGCAGCAACTCCAAACACGGCGCAGCTCTGCAGCTCAGCCCCGTTGTTCTGAGGCTGGATGTGACACAGCAGCGTGCAAGTGAGCCCTGCAGAGCGCCTGGGCCTGCCCAGGATGGCACCCGAGCTGTGTGAGATTGCTGCTCGTAGCACACCTTGTGCTACAGTGCTATAGTGCCGTGTCTGTCCTGACTCGTAACTGCTGGGAATGGCAAAGAGTGTCTTTTGTTGAGAGGCCGGGTGTTTTTAATGCAATAGGGGGAGAAAAAAATAGCACTGCAAGTCCTCAGTGCTTCCCTGCTCTGCTCCAAAGGCCCTTGGAGTCCCGGAGCAGCTCTCAGAGCTTTGTCCTCATGGGCAAGCACTGCTTGCCCAGCCCATAGGGTTTCCCACAGCACGCATGGGGGTGGTGTGCCCATCCAGCACCCCACAGTGAGCTCAGGGAAACAGCAGGGTGGGAGCATGCATGGGAATCTGCCTATGGATTCTGTTGAGTCTGCTGCCATCAAGATTCAAATTAGCAGTGAGTTAAAAGAAAAGTGCTACTCCTCGCCCTACGAATGTGCAGGGTTGGGCTGGGAATTCCAAGAGGATTTGTAAATGAGGGTTGAAAATTCCCAGCCAACCACTTGGCACCTTTTTAGTAGGAGTATAATTTAGTAAGTATAGCTCTTAAAAATCACGTAAACTGAAAGCGGTTGAGAAATCGGTGGCAATTACTTACTTGAACTCTCGGCTTTATTAATAAATGAAGAAGAGCTGCTCGTGCAGCCGGGCAGAGCTGCAGTCACAGTGCACACACAGCAGGTGCCCACCGGCGCTGGGACCTCTGTGTTCCATGGACAAAGCGCGGTGCTTCGAGCGCTTGCAGGAGCGGCCATCGCTTCATTTTGCCCCAGTGATTCGGGGGCACGTGAGGGTTGCTTACAGCGAGGTGTGCTTTGTCTGATGGCACTTCTGCCGAGTGACAGACGAGCCATCTGGCGTTACGCTGAAGTGCAGCGCAGCGTTTTCTTAGGAGGGAGCCTGCAGTGATGACAAAGCAGTTCCACACCTCCGCTGCCTGTGTCACAGCAGGGCTGCTGCTGGCGGATCAGCAAAGCCAGCATGAGATGGCAGAGCCGTGCTGGAGCGAAAGGAGTCCATCAGACCTCTGCCCTCCTAGGGACGTGGAGGGGACTGAGCGGCAGCAAGAAAAATGAGGGACTTTCAGGGGCAGCTGTGTTTTACTAACCCAGTCATAATGCCCCTAAAAATCCTTATTGTTCTTGCAATGGTCAACTGTGACCTCCGGCACGGGGAGGCCTGGAAGGTAAGCACGAGTGCTGGGTGCAAAGCGAGCATGGTAGGGCAGGTCTGCCTTTGGGAAGGATTGCTTGCAAGCTGGAGTGGTGTTACAGGCTGGGGAAAGTGGTGTTACAGGCTGAGTTTCCATCAGAGGTGGATTGGAAAAGCTTCACTGTTAATGGTGGTATGGAGAGTGCATTGTTGTATGAATCTGAAGGCATGAGAACTGGAACACAAAGTGGGAGAAATGAAAGAAACCAAGTACTTTCCCTCTCTGTTTTATCTCTCTCTCATTTCTGGCTATCAGATCAAAATGCAGCCAGGGATGTTCTCAAACCAACCCCAGAGACACACAACCCTGACCACAGCACTCCAGCAGGAGCGTGGCTGGTTAATAGCAAGGGACTGGGGAGTGGGGGAGCACCCCGAGCCACAGAGATTTACTGGTCCTTTATTTAGCATTATAAGTTGCTCCACTGATTGCAGGGCAGTCACAGGACGTGGGAAGGTGGCCATGCAGCATCACCAGTGTGCCTGGGCAGCAGGGAGCCACTGACTGCTCCACTGATGGCCATGGGCTGGGCAGTGCCTGCCTGTGTCACTGTGCCCCTATTCTGTACAGCTGTCTGCTTGCTGATGGAAGGGCTCCATCCTGCAACGTTCCTGCTCATGTCCCTTCCTGTAATATCACAGGACTGTGCTGCCATAAATGATTGCAGTAAGAAGTATTTTAAAAAACTGTTTTTTCAGATTTCAGGGCAGTGATGTCTGCTATTATTGCATTATTACATCTGCATTTCTTCCCTTTTTTTTTTCTTTCGGTATTCAATTTATTCTTTTCATGTTTGGGAAAGTGTTGGTGGTTTTACACTTAATGCCTTTCATTACATTGGGAACTGCCCTCTCCTTGCTAACTCCCTTCTTTACTCCTTGGTCTGCTGAATTGCTCTCAGCCATGGCAGATCTCTGCTCGTTCTCATCATCTTATTCTGAGCTTCATTCCTGCTTAGGGCAGAGATGCAGTGATTGTACAAAGAGAGGCAATTTGTTAAACAGAATTGTAATATTCAATTATTCTCCATCATGCATTCTAACACCTTGTTTGCATTTCTGAGAGCTTGTATGTGTTAAGTTTTTGTTTTCATTGAACTCTACAACAAAAAGCTTTTCTCCTTTAATAACTTTACCTAGGGAGATGGATAATCAAATTAATCTGGCTCCGCAACACTAACTGTCCCCTTCCCAGCGTCTGGTTGTTTTAATCATTACCTGTTTGAAAAGGCTTTCTCTATCAATTAATTGATATTTTTATCAATGAATTCTGCTCCATGTGACTGCGTCAATAGATTAGAAATGCATGCTTATTTTTAGTTTTTTCCTTCTCTCTACACAGACTGCACAGACTTGCCTTTACACATCACTTACCTATTTTTAATTGGGCTGTGTGGCTCCACAGCAAGCATTACTCATTTGTTATTTGTCATTCTCAGGAACATTTCAACTGCTTTTCTTAAAGCTCAACTCTATGTTAAGGAGAAGTGACTAGAAACCCCAAACTGGGTCCTGGGTCTTGCTTAACTCTGTAAAGCACACTGCCTTGCTGACACGACTCCAGTTAAGGTATGGTATGAATCAGGAGCTCCAACAGCCGCTGTGGAATGAGCGCGTTCACGTGAAGTCATCCTGCAGCAGCTATTGCAGAATAGTCAACTGCTCTGTGTAAGCAAGCCCTAAAAGACAATCCTGGTCCCAGCAGTTGTGTGATTAGGTAAGGGAGGTAATGGGCACAAGAAAGGCATATTCTGTCTGCTAAGGATGGGCTGGGAGCAAAGAAACCTGTGCTGCTGAGGGCTGCCTTGCAGGTCGCTGCCTTTGGAGTTGTTTGCTTCAGGACTTTCTGCTTTGATGCCTTCGATTTCCGAGACCGGTCCAGCATACGAAGCCACAGACTGTTTCCTCATGTAGCTGATGCAGTGCCTTCACCTGATACCAAAACAAGATGTGAGGAATTGAACGTTTCCCCTGGTGAGATGTGTGGATGGAACTAACCTGCTTTTAATCCAGTATCTACCGATCAAATAAACAGAAGCACCACCACTACTAACAAGAATGACTGACGCTTAGTACTGGAAACAGGAAGATCCAGAAGGGGTTTTTGTTCCTATGTTACAATTTTTATCTTTAGTATTCACATCTTACTCAAAGTAAGAATATTTGTATGTTAAAATAACCCCCTTTTTGCTTTGTAATACTGGATTGAGCCTGCCCAGCTTCTTCCTATCACAGCTCTGCCCCGTGGAGAGAATCCAGTGGTGGATGTGGAGGTCAGAAGAGCTCCTCCAAATGCAGGGGATGTGCACAGGACAATCCTGCAGCTCTTCCTGAAGCTAGTGCATGGATGAATGGATCGTCTTCTCATGTGCTATGGGAACTCTGCCCATATAAATGTCTGACAGACTCTTCCAGTGCTTTATAACCGTGTTTCTTCTACCTTCTGGTAAGCCACAGTTTCCTGCTTGTGCATCTCTGTCATTTAGCATCTCCAGTCTGGCTTGGAAAATGCAGAAATTCCTAAAATAAATGTGTTTTGAAAAGTAGACACGGGATTTTTTCAGTCAGTCTCAATGGTGCTGCCCTAGACTTCTTGAAGTTGCCATCCCTAGAGTATGCTAAGTAGTATGAACATTACAATAGACCCTGCCAAAATAAAGCATTCCCTACTCGCATGCAGATAATTCTGCATGGATAGCAGAAGATGTACTAAGCTTGAGCCACCATTCATATTTCTTTGCACATCAAAGCAACTGCTCCAGAATCTTTCAAGCACCAGTGTTCCAGGCTGCAAGGAGCCTCTGGCTGCACAGGACCTTTCTGAACTGCCCTGTGATGTTATCAACTGCTTTCAGTGCACAACATCTGCCTGGATAATTTAATCTGGTACATTCATTCAAATAGAAATTGTGTGTCAGCCACATGATCTGAATTAGACCAGTGCAGGAAATAACATTTTGCAGGCGAATTTGGTGCCTTCTGTCACTGGAGCCCTTTGCTACTTTTTGATGAATAGCTGTTTCATGGAGGAAATGTGGTTATTAAGGCAAACTTTCTTCATGATTTAAATTGCTTTCAGCAAAACTGAAGAAATCCAAGCTGCCAAGCAACCTTTAGTTTTAGCAGATTACTGCTGGGCTTTGTCTTTTTAATTAGGCCAGTGTTGATCAAGTTTAATTAAGAGAACTGGTGAGACAGCCAGGACAGCCTTCCTAAGAGCTGGACTCTGTTCTGGGGCCCAGCTGGTATTGGTTGAGATTTAGTTCTCTATAAAGAGAAATAAAACAAAATAAAGCCTTAACAAAATGAATAGACGCCTTGAGTCACAGCACACAAACTCATCAGCTGGCGTAGGATAGTGGGACTTCTCTACCTACCTTTCTCTGCAGCATCAAGTTTTAAAGCTGGTAACAGGATGTGACTTCTGAACCTGACAGCCCTGCAGACAGAAATTCCTCGTTGCTGAGGATGATTCTGCCTTATATGCAATTTGAAAAAAAAAAAAGAAGTACGTAGTTTTACTTGTCTATTAAAGACACAAGAGAAAGATCCATGGTTTTCCATGTAAATAACTGTCAGAAGAGATGAGTTAAATTCCACATTTGAATTCTTGATATTCCTCTGTTTGTCATTGTGCCTTCAAGCTGATGTGCTGTAATTATCCCTGAACAGCTCCCTCATGACCAGGGCACCTGCTGAGCATCACCTATTAGGCTTTTACATCTATAAACTTCACCTGCTCCCTCCCTCTGTGCAAAACCAAACTGGTGCTTTCTCTAAGCTCAAAAGGAACCTGTTTACATATGAAGAGTAAAAGCAGAGAATTCAGAGTTGTAGCAATCAAGTTTATAAATCAGGTAAGCCCAGGGAGAGGGGAACAATACATTTATTAGTCTGCAATTAAGGGAGGGCAGGGAAGTTTTCTCAGACAACTCAGACTCCTGAGGCTGCTCATCTGCCTCGTGAAAGAAGCAAAGTACACAGCTTCACTGTGATCCTGAATCTGAGGCTGAGCAGTTTGTTTTGCCCTTGAGCTTCCTGTGACTTCAGTGCAACATTTTTAAAGGGAAAATTGAACAAAGATTTATGGGTTGCCACAGCCTGCAGTTTTCAAACATACTGCTAGTTCATCCACTCCTCCCACCGTGGACTAACATGCCCTAATTATTGCCAGCACACACAAAAAGCATTTTTAATCATTATATCATAAAGTGGGACAGAAGTGGACTAATGATACAGAAGGGACCAAATACATTTTCAGAGCTCCAGTACACAGGACAGGGTTTGACCATCAGTCTATAGGCAGAAAGGTTGTCACAGACAGCCAGTCACAATATATTCTGATCTTTTGCTCACCACAGATACTACCTGCAGTACCAAGCTTTGGCTCCATGACAGATGAGAAGCAAATCTATGGATTCCAGTGCTTGCACTTCCAAGTTGTTATGGCTTGCTATTAAATGGGGAAAGGAAGCCAAAGGAAATCATGTGCATTGGAGTCAAATACCATTTTTAGGAGTGGGAACTGCATGAGTATTTCACCAGTGATTAAAATAGCCAGGGACCAGGGCACACTAATGATTAATGATCTCTTTCTGCAAGCTGAGGACATGTCCTACAGGATCTGGCCCTCCTGAGAGACAGTCATGAAGTACAGTTTGGAGGAGCATATTTAAAAGGCATGAGCAAAAAAGTACAGAAACAACAGTACAAGGCATTGCTACAAGAAAACTCTGGTTTCAAGTGAGGAGCTTCTGGGAGTTCCTCTTTTTTTTTTTTCCCCAGCTGCAGGGAAGGGTGAAAACTATCAGCTATAAAAATATTACAGTTTATGCTGTTAAACAAATCATAATTTGTCAACAGGTAGCTGAATTATGTCCAACTCCGCTGAGAGCCAAAACTGATCTTTTTTCCCAATGCTGTTGTATAGTAACAGCTGGCAGAACACTGTCAAGCAAAGCTGTGCTGGGCTGATAAATAAACCAATGATCCTTAGTGTAGGAGACAAACCATCTCATGGAAAGACTGCAGCTCATGCTGGGATGTGTTGAACAAATACTTGTTAACAATCTGCACACAGGCAGAGAGTTGCTTTATGAAAAGGTGCTAGAAAAATGTTATTTGAATAAAACACAGCATTCCTAGGGTTATCAAAAGAACCAGCCAGGTTTTAGGTCTCAGAGTCTCTAAAGCACAGCAGCAAACCAGTGAACATTAGCATTTCTTGTTCATTCAAATGGAGAGTTTGGTAACTGGATTCTGGATGAGTGGAAAGACCCAACAAGTTCTAAGATACAGCAAGGCAAGCCAGAAAACCAACAGAGTGATATCTGCTTCTATTTGTTTCAGAGCTCCCAAATTCTGCTGGAGAATTTTTCACTTTTCAGTTGTTTCTGAGGCAGGAGGAGACTTGCTCTGATTGCAGATGCTGTGTTGCCTCTAAGCCAATCAGACTACACTGTCCCATGTGGGAGAAGGAAGGGTAACAAGTGAAAATGTCCCATCAGGAGATACAGCTTTATGCTGGAGCTCAGATCCTTGTGCAGCCACCATATTATGCTCTGTGTTTTGTACTTAACACCATGCTGGTTTTGTCCTTGCTTTGCAGGCATTTTATTTTTATCATGGGTAAGAACAGGAATGTGTGCATTTCTGTGAAAGAACGAGCACAGGGCTGCAAGCTCCATCTCAGTGCAAATAATATTTTGGCAGGAAACCTGCAGGAGATTAAATTAGGGACCTAAAGACTGAATATTAAAACATTTCAAACTTTTGAGTTCTTTTAAATAAGCAGCAACAAAATGAAGCAGTCTGACAAAATTAGCAGGCCCAAAGTGCTAAAGGAATCCTCTAAGGTTCATTTATTTACTGATGCAGATTTAGGAGAACTTTTTAGGCTATTTGTATTAGTAGCTGCATATGTCAACATGCTATTTCCTAAATGCATTCTGAGTCCAGATTAGCTAAAGTTTTAGGTGTTGGCAGACTTGCTACAATAGAAGGGAAATGCCACTGGAATAACTTTAAACATGATCCAATCCCTGATGATTCACTGGATGTGTTAAAATTTCCTTTGAGACCATGTAAGTAATGCAGGGACTGGAGTGCAGAGTGCCTGTGACTCAGCTCTCTGCGAGGCAAAGGGAGGATGTCAGAATTACTCACAGGGACAGCAGGAATCTCATTTATCTATTTATAGGCAAGGCTGAGATGAGCTCGTGCCATTGAAGAGCTGAATTTGCCAGTTCTCCTTAGGGGGAGGAAAAGGGAAGGCCCTACCTTTAGCTTCCAAACCCAAGGACTCTGGCCAGCTGCATTTTCCTGCCCTCGGATGAGCAGCACGGGGCACCTGGCGCAGACCTGTTGGAGAGCAGAGCAGCCCCAGCCCCTGGCACCAGTTGCTACTCAGCCCCTGCTCCAGAGGGGCTGCAGGACGGGGAGGTCCCATGTCCTGAGCTCAGGGGTCTCTTCCCACTGCAGGAGCATCACTGCAGCATGTGTGTATGTCAGCCAGCTTCATTTAAGAGGTGCCGGTTAGATGCCAGCACTCACTTTGCCAAAAGCCTGTTTACTGCTTCTCTTCAAAGAGGCACAACATTATTCCCTGTGCAGGCGTTTTGCCTAACAGGCCATCAGAAAAGGAGAGCTCCAAGGGACAGAGCGGGGAGCTGAGCACACTGCCTGCCTCCAGCCTCTGCACAGCCTGCAAGGCACTGACAGTGTCGAGACAGCAATTCCTGAAGGTGTGCTTTCAGCAATGTATATTTAGGTTTGGGAGGTGAAAGATGGTCACATTTTGGGTAAAAAGCAAGAGCTCAAGCCCACAGCAAAATGTTTTAGTGACACTTTTTCTGGTACAGCCAGCACTTAGCAACACAAACTGCAGCCTTGTTTTCTTACCGAGAAAGAAACCACTCCATGGTACGCCCTGCACACCGCACTGCTCCATCACTGGGAACACCTTTGTGGTGTTGGTTGGGCAGTTCTTTCCACTCCCTCCATTTAGCTGCTGTGGCTAATTCCCTTCCCAAAAAAGAAGTTATCTAGGAATGCAGGGCTCTGGATTACTGATCCAGCCTCCTACTGTTACATTCAATTACATCATATTGTGCTTTTTGGCAGGCTGTCCCAGCACTTCATTTAAAATTTTCAGCTTTAATATCATTTGTTCTTGTGCCAGCATCATAATTTAGTTTAAACAATTCTCTTTTTCCTCTGATCTTTACCTATCAGATATATTTACTGAAAACAATCCTATCTCCTCTAGCCTTTGTTTTGAAAAACTAAACAAATGAAAGTCTTCTAGTCTCCTCTTGTTCTAAACCCTCTGATCATCCTCAGTGCCCTTCTCTGTACCTGCTAATCTTCCTCAAACATGAGTGAACCTGTACCTTCTAGGATTGTGTTTGCCTCTCCATATCAGATTGGTGGCTCACAGTTATCCCTGGGAGCAAGTATGCTCTGCGGTTTTTTTTCCACCCCCCTGCCTTTGTCATCTTCAAGTGAGTAATACGATATTCTCGTTATTAATTTCTAACTGCACGTCTTACTACTTTGTCCATTCTATTTCAGATGAATTCTGTCATTCACTCATTGCTGACTGATGTTCTGATCATCCTCTGTATTAAGAAAGCCCGTGTCCTCAGCAGATTTCTTTACTACATTCCTGCTGCTGTGCCAGACTCATTAATGAAACAAACAAGACTGAACTCAACACTGACTCCTGAGCAGTTCCACTTACTGACTGCCTCTGTCTGGCATTTCTTCTCTTCTCACAGCTCCCCTTTCCTCTGCACTTTAACAGTTTTGCATTCACCATCCACACTAATCCCCATCGTCTCAACTTCAACTAGTAATTTCCCCTGTGGTATAATATCAGATTCTTCACTCAAGTCTGGATAGAGTAAATCACCTGTATTTCATTTACCTAAAAAAAAATCAGTCATCAAAGAGAAATATCAGGGTAAGCTGAACTCATTTCATGTGCCAAATCCTGGGATGGAAATCTGCCAGTGCACCTTCACCTGAGCACACTGAATTCTTCATGCTTTTCTTTCCACCTTACATGCAGTGATTTTCATTCCCTTACATATATTCCCACTAGAAATCCTGTCTTTGTCCCACTGCTCAATATGATCATCTCTACTGAAAATGTGGACAAGGTGTTTTTAATTCATTTTTAGACTATATGTAGTTGGGTCTAATCTCAACCCCATTCTCACTCCATAACGACCACGTTTCTCCTCTTTTTATTTCTCCAGTTGAAACTCTCTGCCATCTGTTCTAATTTCAAGTCCAATTCGCGAGCTCACCTTTGACGTTTCATTCTGTCTCTACCTTCCCCATCCCAGCAACTTCAAATTGGACAACTGAGGCAAATCCTGCCTCCAGTCTTCTGCTCCACCACTTCTCTCCAATGCCACCTTTGTGGCAGTAACTCATAAGGCAGGTCCAGAACTGCTGCCCTGAACACGTCACTGGAGTAGTGGCTGTTCAGGACCTGCAGGGTAAGCTGCTTTGTCAGCCCTGTGATAAGAGTGATGGACTCCATCAAAGAGCAGAGCAGAGCATCGTACTCTGTAGCAGTTCCTCTCCAGACATCTGATTTCAATCCCTAGCTGCATGCCAGCAGAATACCCTCATGCCAGTCAGAACTTCTGCATGTCAGTTAATGCTCCCCATGTGTTTGGGGCTGGTTATTTATCCACTCATCCATGGTTATTTATGGTTGGAGCATTTCCTGTCAGGGTTAAACTTCCTGCATGTTTCAGCTACTTTTGGAATCCAAGTTCCATCACATTCAATTCCTCAGCTCTGCAGTGCAGCTGATTCCACTAATTAGCTCCCTTAATTTCTCAACATTTGCCCTCTTTGAGATGAGTTTGTGTGTCACTACAGACGGTGCTGAAGATTCAGTCCTAACGAGGTGCCTTTAAAAGCTGTGTTTCTTACCCAGAGTCCTCAGAGGCTTTGGCTGACTCACAACTTGGTGCTTTAGAGGCTGTGAAAGAACTGCACTCCCCTTTGTGCACGAGGCAGACTCTGTATAATCTTATCATTGCTCAGTATTATTCAGCATTTTCATTCTGTATCCAACTGAGACCATAAAGAGCCTAAAAGGCCACATTTCAAAACATACTGCACTGGATGGAGAGTCCAGTTAAGTCCCTAAAGTGAAGTCCAACGCTTCCTACCCCCACCGTGATCACTGCAGCACTCTGCTAACCAGCTCTAATTACCAGAACACAGGATGCCCGTACCTGCCTATTTGCTTTGAATTCTGCTAATTTCCTGCAGAAAGCAAAGCCCATCCAGACTGCAGCTGACCAGTCTGTGACGTGCAGACTGGTAGCAGAGGCCTAGCTTAGACTGTGCTTAGACCAGCACAAGAAGAGAGAGCCGTGTCCACAAGGGACTTCTGAAAAACGCAAAGCACCTTTAAAAATCCAGGCCTTATTGCCAGGACTCTGCATGTGACACATGTCCTCTCTTTACCTGCTTCCTCCAGAGCGGCAGCAGCACGGCCCTCTTCCCAAGCCAGCATGCAAATGATACAGCCACAGTGCTGGGGCCACGTTGCTATCTGAGATAGATGGAAGCTGTCTTCTGCTGCCAAACTGGTGCACGTTCAAACTCTGTAGAAAGAGCTGAAATGGCAGAGCAAAGTAAATTTCTCTCCTTCTCTCCCCTCTCTTTCAAGGGGAGCAAATATGCCCCTTTCCCAAAACACGTCTGCCTTGAATGCTCCCTGCTCTGCTGGGCACCTACTGACCTTGGCACTGTCACAGGACTCGTGTTTTTCTGAAAGAGTAACCTCCTTGTCAAGAGGCTTATTGCTTTGGGAAACACAAAGCAGTCTTGTCCTCCAAGTGTCCAAGCCTTCTTTTCACGTCTGTTTATTCCTTCACTAGCATTTATTTTTGGCCCTGAAAAAAAACAACCACACAACTCCACATTAAAGGGATGGCGTCCAGTTAAAACCCACATGCTGCACCACCCCTTCACACCCCTTTGCAGGGGAAGGCAGCAACAAAAAAACTCAAGAAAAACTGTCTCCTGTTGGGCACAAAACTGCCTTTGCTTTCTAGTGAAAAGGCAGCAGAGCATCCTCAGAACCACAGAGCACATTGGTCAAATAGGCCAAATCCTGCATGCCTGAGGCTTGTTTGTATATACAATCAAAAATTCAAGGGCCAAATTTCCATTTGTCCTGGAAAATCTTTCTAGTTGGTATTATAAAAGGAGCCCAGGAGAGCAAGATGCCAATGTTCCACAATGTCATACTGAGTTTGAGGCATGTGTAACTCTTGGGCAATCCCAGCCTTTGCAACACAGCTTATCAAGGATGTAAAATCAGAAAGGCAGTTTCATGCTGCTTCTATGCTGATTCCACACCTGTTTGGGCTACTAGAGCAAGAACATGGCTTCTTATTCAGTATAGAAAAGCTTAAGAGGAGCAGCAGGTGATCGTTGCCTCCTGAGGCCGGTGCCAGCTGTGCTTAACCGCTGCTCAAGGCCAGTGTTAAGGCAAACAAAAGCACTTAGGCCACCAGCAGAGTATGCTCACCTGTTTGACTTTGCAGAGAGGTAATCACAGAGCCAGTGCCAGCTTTGTGCCTGCCACCTCCCAACTGAGAGCTGTGACTGTGTGTGGGCTGATGCAGCTGCAGAAGGACTGTCTAAGGGCTCACAAAGCTGAAGTCCGAGGCACAAAGTTCAAGTCCAAGGTCCTGTATTGACAGTGTGTGTGGTCAAGACCTGCGTTCCTGTTGGAAGATGGAGAGAAGGAAAGCAGGACTGCATCTTGAGCTCTTTGTACTGGCTCTGCAAGAGCAATTGTGCTCACTGGCAGTATCTATGACTTGGACCACCCAGCAGCATCCAGCACCCCAGATCATGTAGCTGTGCTCCATTCCTTTAGCACAGTGACTGAGTTGGGCACCTGAGGACAAAGTCATTAAAGCAGTCTGCTCTCAAGACCTATGTGACAGCAACTGCATCGCTGTCTGCTTTCACTGAAGTCAACGGGACTCTGGCCACAGGCCTGATTCATCTATCTCCTACATCAATAGATTATCTTTCAAGTCCATTGGCTCCTATGAAATTAGAGCTGTCAAGCCCTGGATGTACAATATGGCATGGTTCAGTCAAAAGAAATGGGGGACATGATAGAAATTGAAACCTTTGGAAAGACTTGGACTATCTTGTATGCTTATCAAGTCAGTAGAATATTAATGCTGCATCCATCATTCAGAGTAATGGCTTCTGGATGCTTGGCTGACTTTGGTAAGGGGCACTTTGAGAAGAATAAAACTACATTTTCACTGCTGAGAATCTTCCTACAACATACAATGTGGCCCAAGGGATGCTGACAGCCTGCTGGTATTGTCTTCAGAGTCTACATAGGGGCTAACACTGCTAAACTGTATAAACAAGTGCTTACCCCAGAATATCATTTGAGACCAGACAGGATTTACAAACGCAGAGATGGCCAGAGGTGGGCTGTCCTTCCATCAGTCTGTGAATCTACAAAGAAAAAAGAAGATGATTTTGTATTCTTTCAATTACATATAGAACATAATTAAAGTAATCACAAAAACAGATGCATGATATCAGTAACTGGCAAATTAAGAATTCGGTCACGGTTGTCCAGGAACTCGCAGCCTCCGTGCAATACCAATAATAATTATTTATAGCCTACTATGCAAGGAAATTAGTCCAGGAAAACTGTCTGCTTATAACATAAAGAGTCACCCCAAGGGAGAAGTTCAGTGCAGTGTGCAGGGAGCAAGACATCACACCATTTTCTTGTCTAGTATTATAAACTTTACTGCAAGTAGCATTTGTGTATTTTGCAGAGAATGTCTCGGTTCCCCTGTAACAAATGCCTATTGTATTCCTGCTGAGTTTCATTGAATTTACTCTTGATTTATACTTAAGATCAGAGGCAGATCCATGTTACTTCTTTCTATATAAATCCCTGAGCTGCCTATTCACAAGGATGAGCAACTTCGCAAAAGAATGAGTTGAGAGAATGAGCTGGGTGGCAGGCTAACTATTAGATCTGATGGCATTACCATAGCATCTGGAGAAGCTAAATGCAGTGCTAACTCAAGGTACAAGAAAGCTTCAGCCCTTGAAAAGAGCTAACAAAGACAAAGCACAGAAAGTGGGAGGTAGCAAAGAGGCACAGAGAAGAGAAGCGGCTGTGCAGCATCACAAAGCAGGGAACCCAGAGGGGCAGGAGCAGGGCCCTGTCTCTCAGCACCCTCCAGCTTCACACTGCCTTTTGGTCCTTTCTGCATGTGGACCTCATGCATCTTTAATTAAAAGCACAATCCAAAAATAGAAAATCTTTTTTTTTTGTCAAGGGAACTCCTGCTCTGCAAGTTATTTCCTGTGATTAATACCTGCCTCCTCTGCTGAAGACATCCATCTCTGCGTGGATCAGGTTCTAGTAAAGCAAAGCTCACCTCTTAGGAAAGAGAGCTTTCCATTCTCTTTCTGCTAACATTCCTCCTCACCACTGTCCCTGCTTGGCCCTGCAATCATTTTATGATGCAGCCCAACATAACTCACAGTACTTCCCATTACTGTGTGCCACCAGTGTTAGCAGAGCCCTTTTTGTGGTAGATAGCAGCCTTCAGACACCCCGTGTTTCCTGTTCAACTGGAGCCAATCACACATTATTTGGTACTGAAAGTCCCTAATTAATTTACACACAACAAGGCCATTGTAACGATAACGTAATGGAGATTGGCCCATTAGCAAAAAGTGTGGATAAATTATTTTCTTTTAATGCTTCCATCAATATTAAGACCCATTAATCATATTTTAAAAAACCAACTTTAAACATACACGGTATTTGTAGGCATTTCTGATGGGATGCCCGGCAGCCCTGCCTTTCAGCAAGGAAATCTCTGCCATGTTCTGAGCAGAACTGGATTTTTACTGCACAGAAGATAGCACAACTGGTCCAACTCCTCTGATATCCTCTTTATAAAGTGAGAATATAACAGTTTTTACGAAAAGGAAATCAACATTAAATGCAATATATTCTGAAGGAGGGAAAAATTCCTAGCAGCTGCTGAAAGGAAAGTGAAATTCATAAATACCTCTTTCATCTTTATCAAATTACTATTCAGTACAGTTACATTTATTAATAACAACATCCCTTAAACCACATTGTGAAAATCCATTAGCAAGAAATGCTTTAAAATGTACAACAGGCTGCAACAGATGGTTTATCAAAGGCTGAAACAATTCAACAGTATAAGCAGAGCGGGCATTTTTATGGGCTGCTGAGCGTGCCAGAGTATCACTGTGACACATCCACAAGTGGGCTGTTTGTGTTGTGTAACTAAAACTTTCTCTTGAATCCAGTAATCCACATAACCAAGAGCTAATGCAAACTCGTTCTGTGCTTTGGATGTTTTCCCCATACATACCTGTGCCTGGAAATGCTGCAGGCAGTTTCAGAGCTGAGTGCAGCACTGAGCAGGCAGTGCCACAGCTCTCACTGCTCACAGAGGGAATGCGCACTGACTTCTCCATAACAAACCCTAATGAGAAGAATCCTCAGAGAAGTCATAACTTTGCCCATGAGAGTCAACCCTTGCAGGACCAGCCTGGAGCCAATCACTGCATCACTCTTCAATTTTTCAACACAATTTGCCCTGGAAGTTTACATATTCCCTTCTTCTTTTCTTGATTTTTTAAAAGCCAACAGTTTGAATGTCAATCACTGAGAGGGTATGAGGCGAAATCCAGACGAGGGATTTTGTCATCGTCCTCATGGCAGAAGCTGCCAGCTATGCCCATTGTGCACATCCTGCACCACTGGAGCCGTGTGTGCATCCCGGGAGGGCTGTTACAGAAGGGCTGCTGCCTTGCCCTGCTCTCGGTCGCTTCCAGTTTGCAGCAGAGAACAATAATGGCACAGACAGCGCAGCATTGCTGTGCGCTCGTTCCCCAGCAGTGACTGTATCTGTCACAGCCTCCTGCTGTATCAGGGCAACGATATTTCTGAAGGCATTTTCTTTGTTGCTGAACAAGGCGAAGTCTGAGTTGGGGAGTACAGGAGAGGCGAAGGGACGGAGCGAGGGATGTGTCTGCAGCTGGGTACAAGTGCACAGCAGTGCTGGCAGATCAGCCTACACACATTCTCCTTCCAGATCTGATAATTCCCTAGTTCTATAAAAACACACCCAAGGCAGGGGTCACAAAGTGCCTAAGGTGGATACGCAGTCTGCAGCTAAATGCATCCCAGTTCCCTGGAGGGAGAAGTCCCTTCAAATCCATCAGCTGTACATGTATCTCACCTCAGCAGGCTGTGCCACCACCAACAGCTCACTGGCTTCATCCGTCCCCGCAGTGTGTTCCACTTAGGAGGGCAAAAGGATGGCAGAACAAATCAGTGGCAGAATGTATCATCTGTAATCACACACAAGTCAACTTGTTAACCTGATTTCTCTTCCAACTGAGGTTGTAACTCCATGATTACTTTTGACCGAGCACAGCTAGAAAACACATAATTACATGGACCAAAGCACAGAGAATGGTGCCCACTGCTTTGCTGGTAAAGTGCAGCACATGAGGGGAAAAGAACCACTTGGAAATGAAGTGTACATTCACACCTCACACATCCTCACAGCAGAGTTTCTGGCTTTCAGGCTTGGGTAGCATGAAAGGCGAAAATTTCTCAGGAGCAATGATGGATTGCGTGGCATGAAACACTGCAAATGGTGTCAGTGCTGGGGATGGGGGTTCCACCATCCAGCCAGATGAAAGCAGTCCAGGTGAACGCTGGTGAGACAACACTTGGCACCTTGCAGGAACGATCTTTCTTGGCTGTAATCTCCCCCTCCTGGGGCATTTCCAGTTTTCTCTGTTGTTGACCTGCAGTGAAGGAGGAAAGGGGTTGGACATAGATGGTGCTCTGAGCAGGAGTCGGGTCTGCTGGAGTGGGAACAGCTGTGGGGCTGGGAGGGAAACAGAGATGGGAATGAGACAGATAGGTTCCCCTCTGGGAGGATGGGCTCAGGCAGCCTGAGGAAAATAAAGCTAAAATGAAAGGGAGGAAACCAGAGAAGAGAAGATGGAACTAGGGAGATCACAGAGAACAACAGGAAGCAGTGCTGAGATGTCAGACATGAAGGCTGGGCTTGTAGGAGAAGAGCAAACAGAGTAAAAAAAAAAAATCAGGATTAGTGTGCAAAAGACAGAAAAAAATTTTTTAAAGTCCTATAAAAGTGCCAACTACCCAGCTGCAGTAAGTGAAACTCCAGTACACTTACGTCAACACCACACCACAGATCAGCACCAGGGGAGGAGGTCTGGGGTTTTTTTTTAATTGCTTGGAAAGGCTTTCAGCGATGCAGAACATGAACTCCAGCTTCCACTGATGTCAAAGGGATTTAAAAGTGCTCACAGTCTCTCAAAACCAAGACCCAACTTGTCAAAGTACACGAGACAAGATGCTGCATTAATCCCTCGAGAAGAGCCAGCTTTGCACACTGCCTGGCCCGCACCTCGACGCCGACACACTTTGATGGCACACATGTGGCAGGGACAGGGACACAGCCCAGCTCTGCCCACCCCATGCCAGGCTTTTGCTTTGCTCTCCCTGATGAGCAGCGAGGCTCTTGGTTTGCACAGCCAGGCGTGAGTAGGGGTAAGAGGCATCCGCTTTGCTGGTTGAAGTGAAATGTTTGGCTTATTGGCACAGCTTGTTTAGATTGGCTCCTAGCACTCAGTCGATGTTATTAGAGAAAGCAATAAAAATGCATTAAATACTAGGAACTACATTAAAACAACATGGAGCATGCAACACAAACCAAGAAAAGCAAGAAGCAAGGGGCTGAGTATGGAGTCTGCCATTCCTTCAGTCATGAGTATGAATATGGTGGAGCCATGTCACAACGACATTTGAAGAGGTAGAGCTGGTGAGTTCTTGCATGCTGCAACATGGAAGATTTCATCCCCTTTTCCTCTCCAAACCACAGCTTCTAGAAAGACTTTGAAATGCTGCAGTCAGCTCCTACGCCTCCCTGCTGAGCTCCTTCCAGACTGAGCTCTTAAATTTGCTATGTTTTTGCCAAGACCTAATTTTCTTTTGACCACGTATTAAAGGGCAGATTCCCATGCCACAGGGAGGGACTGTGAGATGTCATCATGGACACATCTGTCACCTGTCTGGTTGGAGCTCATTGCTCTACCCCACTTCGGCAGCTCCGTCAGACATCTTAGTTTCTTCTTTGGTCTTGAGATAGGACTCCAGGGGCTCTGGGATTCCTAACTTATCTGTTCTGTTAACTGATTTCAGCCATAGCCAGATCCTCACTTTTCTACTGTACTATGAAAATCACAACTGCATGTTACGCCTGGTTGAACAGCAAGGTGATTACTGTAAAGCCTGGATTTCCCAAGGGAATAAAGCTTTACATGGAGCACTGTGTGAGCCCAATGTGTGCAAGTAGTTCTTGATCGTGTCAGACTATTTCAAGGAGACAGAGAGGAGATTTCTCAGAGCCCCGAAGGTCCCAGACAGGCAGATGACAGACGGAGGACACGGACACCATTAGCATCCCCTGAGGAAAAGACAGCAGTGAATGCTCCCTCTATACCAGATAGCAGAGATGCCACAAAGGTGAGTGCTGTTCATTCAACTCACTGATCACGAAATTACTCATTAATCATCTCTTTGTGTGATCACCTTCTAATGCCACTCACCTGCCCCATCTGCCTAGGGCTGCACCCTGCACAGCTGTCCGGTAACCACCTTCCTCACCCAGCTGCCCATCACCTCCAAGGCCTCCAGCAGGGATCCATCCGTGTGTTGCTGCAGCAGCACAGCAGAGAAACCGGAGAGAGGATCAACACACAAGGCAACAGGAGCTGCAGCAGGGCAACAGCTGTCCCTCAGCACATCCATTGTTCTTGTGCAGAGAAGCAGCTTTAAGAAAGTGGTGTAAATTACAGGAACTGGATCACTGGCTTGAACAATGTCAGCACGTCCCTTCGAGGGCATTCACTCCCCCCACGCCATGAAACGACAAGTTATTATTTAACAGCAGACCTCACACAGAGGAATGTTTTTCTGTATTCATGACCTCTAACAAGTATAGCAATTGTTTACTATACTCTGAGTGATCCAGAAGGAGCTATAATGTGATAATTATAGAGAAACCTTCCTAAAAATATATTTCTGATGCATCAGCAAAAGCTCAGCAGGCCCCTCCAGCTGGCACTGTACATATGAGTTAAACCCAATTTGAGAATCAGATCATGCACTACATTTTGTGCAGCTGTGCAAAGACTCCAACCAGAAGTTCTGGAGCAGATGTCTTGTAGCAATGGAGGGAAGGACACGAAGAAGAAGAGAAACAGAAGAGGCCAAGGCCACGTTTCTTGATTGAGTGGTCAGCGACATAGGAAAGTATCAGTTCCACTTTCAAGCTGGATAAACTGAGGCTCTGGAAATCGGCATTTTCTAATCTGCTCACTGACCGGTTGGTGTCTGATCTTCGAGGTCCAGCTTGACTCCAGGCTGTGCCTGCTTCCTCACAACTACTGAGCCTCTGCACTGTTCATGAAGGGATACGTTTCATTATGATCATTTTTTATATTTGTATACCTGCTCTGTGCTCACCGTTTCCAAACCCCAGCTCATGCACTTGGAAGAAACACGCAGAAAGGCTTCGGGACGTTCCTGCCTTGTAGCCAAAGCCACTGAAAAGTCAACCTGCTGCTGCTGCCCAGAGGTGCTGACCTAACTAACCCCTCTGCTGCTGTTTCCGCTGATCAGACTGTGAAGGGAAGCCAGGGCACAGGTGTTTGTTTTCTTCGCCCAGCGCAGCACTTTTCTGGAGACAAGCTGGGACTTCACAGTCTCTGTAGCTCCTTGGCAGCATCTACATTCTCCTGTGCCTCAGTTTCCTCACCTACAGAAAGGCCCAGATGACAAACCCTGAACCAAGGGCTGTGTTAAAGTTTGGAAAACACACAGCACCTTGAAAGAGGGCTTCTGTGGAAGCACAAACAGTCATTTATTGCTTCAATTAAAAAGCGTGTGCCACAATCCACAGTCTGTTTATACTTACACTTCTTATGGATATCTCTCTGAAAAGAACCCAGCCTTGGTAGCTCATGGATTTGGCACGGCACACCAAATAATAAGCAGGCTCACCAACCCTTCTACAACACACAGTGCTTCTGTGTAACTTTGCAGGCTGTGTTTGACTTGTCTGAACTTGAACAGTCACCACTGATTGATTGGCTTCTAAAAATACACGTATGCCATGGTTCGGAGTCCAGAGAGCTCCTGTTGATTTAGATGGAGACCTTGCTGGGAAGAGGCTAAGACAGACACCTGACACCAGGGTGCTGCCATTGCGGCCACGTGCTGCCTCCTGTGCAGGGTGCTCTGAATGCGGAGCTCTGCCATGCTCAACAGCCCTCCATACCTCTGAGTGGGGAAAAAAGCAGGAAGAAAGCAGCCCTACGGATCCCTCCCCTTCCTACAACTCCATTTCCAGGCTGCCCTGCCGCTGTTGGTGAAAAGTGGAGCGAAGCTGCACACATCCTGCTGGAGGGCTGAGCTCAGGCACTGAGCCCCTGCGGTTCCCAGCGGTCGAGGGAATGCTCAGTGCCCTGCTGAGCTGGGAGGGCTCCCAGGGCCAGGGATGTGACTGCTGCAAGGGAGATGCATTGCACTGTACCCTGGAGGAGGCCGCAAGCACGTGATTATTGCAACAGAAGCCGCTAGGAGAAAAACCAGATTACCGTTTTCCATTGAAGGTAATAGGTGCCTTGTTGATTTATAACTCTGTCACTGCTGGCCATTAAGCAAACGGTGTTGCAGCTCCTAGATCCCATTCCGTAGCACTCTCAGTAAGCTGCAGTCTCTGGCGCAATGTCTTGGAGAGCTCCACTGTAGGGCATAGGGCCACAGCTTTCCCCCTCAGTGACAATAATGTTAGCACTCCCAGTTACACACACCCAGATCACTACAGCTGAAGTTTCAAAATGCATTTTGGAAAGGGGAGGAGGTGTGGGGCTGCAAGGAGCCACGGCACGAAGCCCAGGAGCTCAAGCCCAGCAGCTTGCCACAGGGAAACTGCAAAAAGACAGGAGCAAAGCAGTGTCTGTGCATTCTGGGTGTGATGCATTGACAGCAGCATCCTGGGCACTGGTGAGGAATGCAGAGCACCAGGTTTGCTAAAGATGTGAAACTGCGACAGTTTCCTACACTGTGCCCTACACTGGCAGGTCTCAGGGCCACTCTGCTCACTTACCTGCTGACATCGGAGCTAACAAAAGACAAAGCAGAGTGCAGTCAAATATATACACTGGATGTTGCCATGCTACTGAATGCAGCTTAGCACAGCAGGACTTTTTCTAAATAATGTATTGTAGCTGAGCTAAAACCTAAATAATAAAGCTTACTTTGGCTCTCTGGAAGATCACAGCTAGACAGCTGCCTGTGGAATTGCAGGGCCAGTGGAAGAAATTATTGGTATTCTAGGAGCACATGGGACTGGAGATGATCACTGCAGCCAGATTCCACTTTCACAGCATCACATGCCAACCTGTTCGTGTGTGGGTTATGCAACAGGACCTGGCTCTGCTCTCCTGATGCAAGGTCTTGCAGAACCTGGTTGCTTCAAGGCCCAGAACCCTCATTTCCAGCGTCAGTGTTTTCCATGCCAGTTTATAGTCACTCTGTCGTCCAAAGATTTACTGTCATTTATGTAACCTTCTTCTTTCTGCTGTGTCTACAGAAGCCAGCGCCCTCTCTTCAGCTCTGCCACACTGAACATCCCACACAGCCACTTCTGTGTCCCTCACAGTCCAGTCGTCTTCTGAGTCCTGCTTCGGATTTCTCCTTCCCAAAGACAGATGATGGGAACTGGCTGTGACTTTCCAGACGGAGGCTGAGCAGTTCCTTGTATGGTGGCAGGAGTGCTTCCCCATCTTTACTGGAAATATCTTGCCTAATAAACCCGATGATCTCACTTGGCTTTTGTGTTCAGTTTTAAAAGGGGTATAAAAGCAGGCTCTCCAATATTTCACTTCATTTTATTTTAGTGTTTGTTATCTGGAAAAAAGAAGGTAGTTAAACGGCCTTTTTAATTAAATTCCTTTAAATCTCTGAAAACAAGAAAGAAAGAAAGATAGTAAACAAAGTAAGACAGAAGAATTACCATGTGTATGAGCAGAGGTATTTTTTTTCCCGTAACACATTTATATATAAATCTCTTTTTCAAAAACTTGCAGAATTTCTCAGTTGCTCAGTCTGTCTCCTGGGCAACGTGACACCTCACAAGAGGAGCCTTGTGGGACATCAGTGCTGGGAATTCTATTGAAATTCTCGTCCAAATAAAAAGTATTCCTAATTTCTTGAAGGTGAGAAGAGCTTGCAGCTCTGCATCCTTCTGTCTTTGCTTGTCTTCACTGTCACACAGCTTATGAAAATAAAAGGCCATGAGCATCAACAGCTTCATTAAACAGGGGGGGGTTCTATGGGGTCCCTTTAGGCATACAGCCTCTTTCTAAAGGTCTGCAAAATGCACCAAAGAATTTACATGAGCAGCAACATAGTAAATAAGAATAGCTTCTTGTAAAAAGAGTTCAGGCCCCCAATGTGAAACATTCAGACTTCCATAAGTAGGAAAAAAAAGTCTGGAAATCACTGGTTTAGCTAAAATAATCTGAGAAAGGCCTGCCTTCACTTCTGCCACCAGCACAGCCTCTACAGGATGAGATCTCACCACGTATGCTGGCTGTGGGAGAAAGCGTGTCTGAAGGCTCAAACCTGCTGTTCATGAGACAAGACCTTACCAAAGGACTTGAGTACAGAGCTGACTCCTGATTAAACCCCAACTGTCAGCACGGCAGGTCAGGGCAACTGGAAGCATCAGCATGGCAAAGCTGGCAACCGACATCTACCTCAGCTACTGCTGGCGACAAGTAGCATGGAGTGGATGTCAAACACTGCAGGTTGTTTCCTTTGAGTTCCGAGGGCATTTAAAAAATCACAGTACCACTGCTGTATTCACTGGAAGCCGGTGTGCAAGTTGCTCCAAGGGAGCTGCGCAGCCCCAGGCAGTGCCACAGCCAGCTCTGATCTGCAGGAAGTCTGCACAGCTCTCCAGAGCTGCAGCTCTGTGGTGGTTGGGGCTGTGTGAGCACCGAGCTCCACCAGCGATCCTTCAGCCTGTCCAATGCACACATTTCAGAAGTAAGACCACAGGGTATCAAAGGCCACTTCCCTGCCTATCAGATGGCTCTGAAATGTTGCCCAGTGCTTGCTTTTAGTAATATTTACTCTATCTTCTCTACAACTTGCCAAATGTACATTTTTTGTCTCCTGTTGCTTTACTCCATTTTTTAAATAAGGAGACGATGCTTTCTGTGTCTCCCTCCTCAGATACCAGCACTCTCCCAGGGAACTCTCAAACACTGAGGCCAGAAACCAACTCCAGGAATTGTAGGTTGCAATTAATCTAAAATTGGTGACTTGTCAATTTTAGTAGTTTTAATTTCCCAGCTGTCTGCTTGGGTTACACACATAAAACTTCTAAACAAAATGCCTTCTCTCTCTCTGCACACGGAAAAACAGATTCCCTGTCCTCCTTGCAGTATGTGACCTTTAGCTGCTCTCCCCTGCTTCCCAACTCAAGGAATTCGTTCAGCAGCCCCACTCACTCACCACCTTCCACTCGCATCCCTCTAAAGGCTCCAGCAGCTCCCTGCTCAGCTCAGAAAGATTTATACTTCTGTGCCCCTTCGTATCCTTCCTCTTTAGGCTTTGATTTACCATTCCAGCTTCCTTATCGCTCTATAGCACTTCCTACATGTTTGTCTTTATCGCTCCTCGTTTTCCCTCTTTGGAGTCACCAATGAGTTTTGTTTCCTTAATTGCAGTGGGAAAAATTCACCCAGCAAAGAGGTCTTTACAGGGAACTGTGCAAGTCCAGGCTCCAGTGGAACATAAATGGCATTTTACTTCTGAGGCGGTCTCTCAGCACAGGAAGAACTTTCAAGCCATATCAAACTTCCTCGTGCAGTTCTCAGACCCTTCCCTGCTTTACATTTCCTGTGCATTCATTAAAGGAAAACTCTGTGCCCCTCACAAGGCACGAGGAAACACGACCTTGTTCACCTATTTTCTTAGTGCCTCTCTCTGCAGAGAGCTGCTCCAACTCTCTGCCAACTCCTCCAGCAGCCCTTCCCACAGCCAAATGTCCTGGTCTTCATTTTCTTCCTGTCCTTCGGTTTGTGATCAGTGGGCTGCCTGTGGTCATCAGCACCCTAAGGACCTCTCATGGGGCCACAGACACACTGACTTGGGGCACTGTGACGGACCAAAGGAACCACAGAGCCCTTTCTGCTCAGCTGCCCTCACTGCTTCATGGTGGGACCTGAGGTTTGTGTTCCTCACCTTTTAACTCAGTCTTTGAAGTTACTTTCACATTTGTTCTCCTACCCCTCAATATTCCTCTCTGCAGGGATTAAAGCTGGTGGTAAAATATCCTGTGAATGTTTACGATCACAATTACACCTGTTCTAGAAGGATTTCACAGTCGATTGAGTCTCATTATTCTTTTCATATTGGTCTTTCCCGCCCTGGTATCCAGATTTCCCAAACACACAATCCAAGCTGAGAGCCGTTTGGTTATGATTTCAGAGCATTTTTAACACAAATCCTGCCCAAATACAGACGTGAAAGTCTGGCAGGTAATGAAATACCTTTAGCTGGGGAAAAAAAAAAAAAAAAGGCAGAGGGGAATGTTTTCTATAAAGATTGCTTCTGTAAAGGACTGGGATGTGCATGACCAAGTAGCCAGGCCAGCTGCTATAAATACTGCAGAGTTCCAAGTTAGATCAATTCTACACAAATTGAGGCATTCCTGCTTCAGATCACACAACTCTGATCCCCTGAGGGGAAATTGCTGATCTGGGTATGACCAGTACTCGAGCATGCAAGATGCTGGGCAAAAAAAACGGGAAATTTTTAAGCTTGCTTTGGCATTAATTCAGGCTGAATTTCCCAATAGAAAAACAAAAGATCGGCACTTTTGGGTGCAGCTCCCCCACAGCACAATAAGGCTGCCTCTTAAATGGGAGTTAAGGCACGCAGAGTCAGGCCACTTGGAAATAAACTCTAAAAAGTCACACCAGCAGCAGGAATGGGAACCAGAGCTGCACTCCTTCACAGCAGGCTGTCAAGAATCCACTGCTCCCACCAAAATCACCTGGAAATCCCAGGTGTGTAAGGAGAGGAAAGACCTGATTTGTAAAATATTCCTGCTGGACGGAGTTCAACTTTACAAAAGATGACTGCCTTTCAGCTCCTTTTCTCTTGTAACCTACTTTAGCTGTTAGTGCCAAGCAGCAATAAAACTACATTCATGTCCATTCAGAAATCATCTTGAAATGTCTTTGTGCAAAGGGAAACAGTTTCATATTCTGCACTTCTTCAGATTTCACATGGCAACTTCTTTCAATTTCCAGCATAGAACAATTTTTCCAACAGGAAAAATCAAGTCCTACAGCAAAGGCAAATCTAATTCAGTATCTGTATTCACAGGGACTGTCCTCACCTGGGAATGCCCATGAAATGAGGCTGGTAGAAGACTGTGGTTCAACTGCATGAAAGAGCTAACAGACAGCAATGGCACTGAAACTCCAACATCTGCCCCAGAGATGGGGACAGCATAATTACCCTGCAGTTAAAAGGAAAATACTGCTTCTCTCTTCCATTGTGATATGGTAACTTTCAGCAAAATGTTCAGGAGTCACAGATCTGTCCTAAATCTAATTGCACAGCATGGTAAAAAACAGATGCTACAATTAAAAAAAATGTACTGCAATGTCAAACACCACTACCAGAAAACACAGTGGCAGGCCTTAGCCCTGCAAAGCCTCACATAGGAATTCTGCTTTTTCACACATTTGGAATAACTTTTCTAAAATCAGTGAAACCATTCAGAAAACAGGCAAGGGCTTTGGCAGCATCAGGGGACTGCTTCACCTGCATTGCCAGTGGAAAATTAGATCTGTTCACTCCTATATAACCTATTTCAAATCATACTGAATTACCTACAAGTTACTAAAATTAGACTAACAAATAAATTACCCTGTAGCTGAGCTGATAAAACGTGACTGTTTACATATGAGTTAATACTGGAGACTAATGCTAAGATTAAAGACTACTTCAAACACAGCCTTTGCCCAATATGTAGCCCAATATAAAATTCTGTTTGGTTTTGGCAGAGCTAAGAACAACTTTAACAACCTTGTTAATCATAGATTAAGAATGGAAAAGATCCTATTTGGCACCAGGCGTGCCATTAATAACAGGCAGGGGTGCAGCAGCAGAAGTGACCTCGCTTAGTGCCAAGGAGAGGGCTTGGGGTGCTGGAGCTGCACCAGGTCTGAGGGCACCCAGCAGCAGCTGGGCACAGTGCTGGGAGGTCTGCTTCGAGCCCTTCACATCTCCTTTGTGTTTTGATGCTCCTCAGTCTGTACTGGATCTGTTTGAAAAGCCAGCAAATATCCCTGGGAATCCAGAACTGCCTAATAAATGTTTTCTAGTCCTAATGAAGTCCGCTGCCTTTCTGAAGGTTTCTGTCCTTGATGAAATGAGGCATGAGGCTGACATTCCTCACACCACCTTTCTCTCTGCAGTGCACAACGTGCATTTCTTTAACACAAAGCTTGGTCCCTGTCCATTCCCAGGCTGTGCATGCAGTGGAGCTCTGTGTGATTCCTGCCACCAACACCCAGCCCTGTGCTCCCCATGGCCGGCTCTGAGCCCAGCACCTGGGCACGTCTTGGACTTTTCTGCACCTTCTGTACTCTTTTTCTGCACTCCCTGCTTCTTGCTATCCTCTGGCTCTCCATCCCCAAAAGGCTCTTCTGCTAGGGTGGCAAATCAGCTCTTTTTGGTTTTTGCAGCATCTGTTTCTCAGACACTTACAGGCACTGTCACCAGAGTCAACGTGATGAAGGTCTAACATTGCCCCAGGATTGCATGACCCAGTGCTATTGATTTCAGCCCTGCATGGTCCTTCCTCCTCTCTCAAGGCCAACGCACTGCATGGGGCAGAAAAGAAAATCTGTTCCGTGTTAAATCTATCAGTCATTTTTATGCATAACTCTAAAGACTTCACCTGAGCAGCACTCATCCTTGTTTCCCATTCAACCCCCAGGTTCCCCAGAATGGTTGAGTGGGACTTTGCACATCAGAACAGTCCAATTGTGACAAACACCCCATGGATAAGCACTGGACGTGACAAGCTTTCCTACCAGCATTTCTCCAGAGTAACCTTTCAAGCCCATCTTCCACCTTCTAGTCCTTGCTCTGCACAAACAAGGTCTGTCTGGGTGGCACGTGGTCCAAGCATCCACTTGGCACCGCCAGCCACAGCCCATTTCCAGCATGCACACATCCCAGAAGGCAGCACAGCCAACCTGACCACAGGCCACTCCCAGTTCTTGTAAGAAAGGCAGAAAAGATAAGGAGGGATGGACCTTTCTTTCCCTGTGATCAGTGTAGAAGTTTTTTACTGTGAATCTCTGAAAGCTAAAAAGAAGATCTGGTATCCTCCTTTCTACTTTGCAGAAGATAAGCTGTGATTAAGCATGGAAGTCCTTCTGAGTTTCGCCTAGTTCCCATTACCACAGTGCCCAAATATCCCATTGTGAAAAGAAATCCCCCCCTCCCTCCATGCACAAGAAACATCAGGGGGTTTTCAAAAGAGAAGAGCAATCCTGGCGCCTCATATTCTGAAAATGCTGTGCAGCCGACCTTTGAAAAGCAATTCTGAAATTCTTCTCATCAAAACAGAGACTCCTAAAATCACTTCTTCTGTTTATTAATGTCGGTCACATCTCTGCCCTGATGGTTTTGCAATGGAATGCAAGTTTATGGTCTGTACTCTATAGCCTTTAGTTGCTGCAATTTAATGCATACTTAAGACCCAAACAATTGCAAAGAGCATGAACAGAATCCTCTTGCTGCTTAGACTACACATGTTTTACATTGCTCGGTTTTTATGGTATATTCCATGCTATTCATGCCTTGTGTTTCTATAGCATCTCCCACGTGAAGGGCTCAAAACACTTCAGAAATGTAAATGGAACTGAAGCGTCCCAGCAGGACTGGCAGAACCCCCTGCTCTTTCTGCTTTTTGGTGCCTTTCTGCTCCCCTGTGAAGCCCATGATCTTCCATGGAAAGCTGCCAAACCGGTGCAGGACCAGACTAGTTCATCCCTGCAGTTCCTCTGGCAGGCACTGGGTAAGTGACTGAAATCTTTGTCCCTCCCAAAGCACAGAGCCTGCGTGCACCCAGTTCTGTGGAGCTCTGGAAAAGGGCAGAGCTGAGAACTCCTCTGCTGTGCAGCCAGCCCCCATCCAGCCCTTCTTCCCCTGAAGCCCACAGCACTTCAACGACAGACACTCTCCTTCCCCCTCCCAGGGGGCTCCTGCCAGCACTTTACTGCTGTCACTACCAGAAAAGCAGGACATTCTGCTGAAACTGCTCTGAAAGAGTCAGGGAACCAGGAACGAATGTACTAACAGTGGTATTTCTTTTGCACAGAGCTGCCATGTGTTCAGTCTTTCCTGGATACATTTTTTTTTTTCTCCTACTAGTTTTGCCTGGCAGAAGTAGAGGGCTCTGAACACTCACCCAGGATTCCTGGATGTCTGGCAGCCAGCCTGCAAGCAGCAACTGTTGGACTTTGGAAATACTTGATTTACATACACAAGGATCGATCCTACACTGTATGTGTGACCCTGGGAGACTTGAGCCTGCTCTGTGCTACAAAAGACCCAATTGACTGCACACACAGGTTGGGTGCTTCCTGAAAGCACTACACTCACCTCACCAATAAACAGATTTCTGCAAGTCTAACCACCAACCTGACTTTTAGCAAGTTCTCTTGTGCCACAGCGCATCTGTGGGACGCTGCCATAAATCTGCAAAGTTCAGCAAAAGCCCAAAAGGAAAGATATCGTTTCAGCTGAATGAAAAAGGGCAGCCAAGAGCAGCACGATAGCACAACCATCCCGATCACACCAGGTATTCGTCACATCTTGTTCCTGCGTGCTGCTCCCACATCTCTCTCTCTGGACTCCCATTGGGCCATCATGCCTCTAACGATGCCCACATACAGAGACATATGCTCTGCTTTAGTTAAAATTGACTTCTTGTCATGTTATGCAACTGAGCTCTACTCAGTGTTATCTTTTGATTGACTCCTCCACTATTCCCCTCCCAGTGCATTTATCTGAGGCCACTGACAGCCAGCAAATACTGACTACATCTCTGCTCTTTGGCAGCTCATTCTGGCAGTGTTTTCAGACAGTTTGAGAAGTGGGTGTCACTTACATTAGCTCACTCTAAAATGCATATAATCCCTCCTGCAAATTCTAGGCCATGGATTTTAACAGAGTTTCCAATGTAGGTGTGAGGACTGCTCTAGCTGTGCTAATTTAGTTCCTATTGATTTATCTTGTCTCCTTTCACGGCAGCAAATTGTAAATACTTCCTATGCTTCACTCAGCGTTTGCTCCCCACATGACAACTCTCTAGCACTGACAGAATGTGTTAGTGAAAAGCACCTTGATGTCTGTTTTCAGTATCACAGAGATGGAGCCATCATCTACTGCCAGTCTTGCTCCAGGAGAGCTGCCTCATCCAACCCCTCCCCGCTTAGGAGAGCTGGGCCACATAATGCAAAGGCTCCATAGTAAGAGACACAAAACAATCCTCACAGGAAGTGAAATAGACCTGCCTTTGGGATGAGATGCAGAACTAAACTACTGACCCTTTTTTATTCCCTATGGCAGATGCTAAACCAGTTACGACCATGAATTTCTTTCTCTGAAGACAGAATCAGTTGTTGCTGTCTTCTTTGGTCAGCAGCAGACTGCACCCTGCAGCCAGACTCCTGCTGCACTTAGTTCTTTATGGGTCCTACTTTAATGTCTGAAATCTAATTTTATCCTCATTTAGATGTGGCTAAAAACTCTAGCAGCTCGTGTTTTCTCTCTAGATGAGCCCCTATTTCTATAAATGGAACAGACATTCTTTTGAAGTTGTTTCAGTTCAGAGATGTAAAAGGAAAGCCTGATGCCCAGCCTCACCCTCTCCCACCACCTTCCTCCAGCACTTTGCACAAGGCTTTCCAGGTAACACTCCTGATTGCTCAGTGGCTAGTACCTGTATCCTTATTTCCTGCACAACTCTGTGGCACCTGGAAGCAACTCTGAGACTGTGCACAAAGGAAGAAGTGCTATCAGGAGAGCACGTGCTGCACGGTGCTCAGCAGCCAAGGTGTCCATGCAGAAGCTGAAGGCTTTACATCAGAACCCACACAGCTGGAAGCTGGGAGGCAGATGGAAGAACACGATCTTCCTCTTCCAGCAGCAGAAAACTATAATGCAGGTCAAACCACATCAAGAAATCATGCCTGAATTCCTATTCTCAGGAGTCATTTAGTCATCAACCTCCAAAGCTGCTTAGGGAAGCAGAGAAAACCAGGCCTGCAACTTGCTCTCAGCAGCAAGGCAAAGAAGTGGAAGTCTGTGGTGTACCAGCATGATTCAGGAAGACTGACACTTCATTAGTGTGAGTAAAGGCGCCACCACCTAGTCTTTAATATGCATGCTTAGCTAGGTCCTGATCCAGCCATGAGATCCCTGTTGCACATGAGCAAGGCGTGCGTTCCAGTTGCTTTTAGTCCTCACTCATGATACTTTTTGCAAACATCACATGAAGCATTCCCTTTAGGGAAGGGAAAGTTTGGATGTACCCTATAAAAACCATACGTTTTCTCTTCAGTCTTAACTACATGTTGCAATAGTGTTGTTTCTTAATTAACAGAACAAGCAACTTAATCTTTATAATTACACACCTTGGGAAAAAAGTTTGCTACAGACGCATTTTGCAGCGAGCCTCCTCACCATCTCCACTGGGAATTCCAACATTTGCCTCTGAAACAGAGATATGTTGGGACTGGCATTTGCCACACTCAAATCCACAAACCTCTGGTTGTGTCCGTTCCTGAATTACAGACCTCATGTCTGCAAATGATTGGTTTTCAAAGCGAGGGCAGCCATCCTTCCAAAGGCTGAGAAATAAATATATCATAAATCCGCGTATGTGGCTTTCATTTATAAAGATCTAATTAAATTTTGTTCTGTAATTTCTCTATGCAGCATATACATGCAGTATATATTTTTTTCCTTTTCTTTTGGCCATAAATACAAGCAATACGTCATATAATTCTCTTCCTCTGTAACGTGCCTGGTTTTTGTGCTGGTAAAGTAACATCTTATGCTTTTGTAGTCTGCTACAGTGCACTATAGAATTTTTATTGTATGTTACAGTCTGGTTTGGAGATCATCCAGCAGAGCTATCTGCTTCCTTTTAAAAATAAAATAAAATACTGTATTTTTCATAAAGTGTATAAAGCCATGCAGAAATCCAAGCATGGAAAATAAACACAGTATTGCCAATACCAAGCATTTACCAGGCCTGTTCTGGGCCACAAAATCATGAGTTTGCCTTACAAATCTTTAGAATTCAAAGACAAGTAATTTCAGGTTTCCTCGACTTGTCTCTTTTTCTTTCGAAACTTCTTGGTTGTTTTCAGGCTATTCCATACAATCAAAGAGTCGACAATTTACCTTCAATTTTAAAGAATGCTGAAACTTGCACATAATTACAGGATTTGGGGAACCAGAGCTTTCAAAAACAACTGTAACAAAATTTGTGGTAAAGCTGCCAAAGCTGGTGCTGCTGTAGGCTGAAATCTGGTACCTGGCATAGGGCTGACACATCCTCATCCCCATTAACCCTCACCACTGAGATGCAGACAAATAAGTGGTGCTGTGACTGACTCCAACGTGTACAGCTGCTTCTCTATACTGCCCTTTGGAAACTCCAACTTTCTGGCTTACTGCTTGGCAGGCTTTCCCCAAACTGCTCCCCAAACTGAGACAAAAGTCCCTTCCAGCCCTTCTGAATGTCATACTGAAGTATGTTTATAACTCATTATTGGCAAAATAAGCAAGCAGACAGACAACACCTCGCTTGCTCCCACACATGTTCATCCTGACCAGGCTGAGGAGTGCCTGAGGTCAGTGCACACCACCCACTGCTTTCAGAGCCCTCTGCACAGTGCCCTTACCTTGCAGGTGTCTCTGAACAGAGTCTCAAACAGCCCTTCCAGCCCAAATTTCCAGGGCTCAGCACAGCCTGCAATGCAGTTACTGCTCTGCAAGGATCAGGGCTCCAGCATCCTCTCACAGACCCTCATCCCAGGGGCAAGGTGTGACAAGAGACCACCAGGATGGGATTTACAGCGCTGGCTCTGGTTTAAAAAAAAAAAAAGGGGGAGGAGGGGGGGGAGAAATTACCAAGAGGTTGAGCTATTTTGCTCTGACATTTGCAAAACAAAACATTTCAATTTTCTGTGTCAAAATGAAACTTTGACTTTTCAAATAAAAAAAGGTAGAAAACTAAAAGAGCATTCCAAACTAACATGAAATTTTGCTTCAAACTAAAATATGATTTCCTTTAACAGGGTTTGAAGTTTTTTGGCTTTTTTTTCCTCTTCAAGAAAACACTGAAATAAAAGATGGTTCTGATCAATCTCAAACTAACACTGCTTCTCCACAGTTTTTCTACATAACTCTTACACTGAAATTAGCTGTTCTCTCTGCTGTGGTGACACTCCCAGTCCCCAGTGGCAACTCACAGCCTATGGATCCATGTGCTGGTCCAGTTCTCATGGGCAAGGTCACACCTGTACCTGCTGAAAGGAACGGCAATGGCCTGACAGCAGTGAGTGCTGAGTGAGGCATTCTGCATGGCTGGGACTCACCATGGGATAGGAGCTGCACCAGGGGATTTGGGGCTGTTTCATGCACAGGAGTCATATGGAGTTACCACATCTGTACAGCAGAGTTCTCAGTTGTGATGTTTGTTAAAGAACAGAAAGGGGCAACGTACCGTCTGAGGTGCACAGGGAGTGCAGCTGGGGAGGGCTGCAATGCATTCCCATCGGTGCCGACATCCTCAGGGGTCGTGGGATTGGCCTGTGCGTGAAACAGGGCTTCCCTGGCAAAACAAAAGCATTTCACTGCAGTCAGCAGAGCTGGACAAACAGCAGAAGATGATGGATCATCTGTTTTCTACAGCCCAGCCCCAGGCAGGACTCAGGGTAACAGCACTGACAAATACGGGTGCCAAGTGCTGTGCCTTGGCTCTGCCCGAGGTGCGTGCAGCTAGATTTTACTGGTGCTAAGAGAAGCACTAAATCCTGTGCAGAGCAAGGCATGTCGCTCACCACTCCAGGCAAGGCTGTTTTCAGTTTCCTGAGACAGTTGTGAATTCATTTTAACTCAAGATTTGAGCACAAGATCATTTTTCCCTTCTCTCATGATGGGAAAGGAGCTCAAGTACACCTCACCTGCTCACCACTGCCAGCCTGCAGTTCTTGCACATTTCCGTGCTGGTTTCATGGGAATCATTCAAGAGTGTGTCAGCTCACATCCAAGCCCAGCCAGCATCATTCTGCAGCTCAGATCTTCTCAGAAACAGCTTTGGTGTGCAAGGCACCAGTTTCTTCACATCTGATACACTGAGTCTGCGGTCTGAGACTTCACATCCAGAAACCAACTTTTGTCATCCAGACACAAATGCTCAGGATCCAACCCTGCAAATGATGCACTAAAGGTGCCTCGCTCACACAGGCAGCCCCACAGCACATACAGGAGTGCCTGCCCCAAGCACAGATCCATTTTCAGATGATTTGTTATGAAGTGCATTAATTAAAGGGCGTCTTTCACTGCGGCATTTGTTGCTAGCAAGTGGGCTGTGTGTAGCAGTGATATGTTTCAGTGTTGACCTGTAAGGGTAGCTTCACTTCAGCAGTGATAGGGAGGTGTTGATGGGATAAAGCCCACCCTCTGGTACCTCCATTTCTGCAGCTGCAGCCATGCCAGACGTGGCATGTTTCTCTGTTCCACAGTCCCAGGGTTAATATTAGCTTAGCAAGTGCCCAATGACTCCACTGAGAGTGCAAAGACCTCACTTTGTGCTGGGTGCTGAATGAAGTAAAAGGCAAACCTTGTATAAAAGCAAAATAGAAAAAGGCAGGTGGGAAAAGGGAGATGCAGGGTCGGATCCAGTTTAGATACCCAATTCCTAGCAATAAGTCACCCAGATTTTGAAGGGTGAGGCATGGAGGCAAGTGAGGAGTGCTCCTGCAACTAATGGCACAGCTTCCACAGCCATTATGAGGGTCCCCATGTGCCCTGCAGGGCACTGTGCCCCATTCCATCAGCTACCTTTGCTCCAAGAAAAGAAAAGTAACACAGTTCTCTGTAAATTTCAGTTGTTAAATACACCCTTACATTTACATCAGGTCACACTGTGAGTCAGTGTGACACATAAAAGAGCCATTTTGCAGCACAGTGCTATGTGCCGTAGAGATGTGATCAATCACACAAAGCAAATAACCAGCTCCTACAGCTCCCAGCTCCAGCAAGGGCAAATGTCAGCCCCGTGCCAGGAACAAGCCCACGAGCTTTCCCACCCACATGGGGCAGAGGCTTCAAAGGAGCCCACAGGATCTTGAAGGAGATGGGCTTTAGGAAAGAGATGGGTGCAGCAGCTTCCAGTGCCATTTCTGCCTCAAGAAAGCAAAGTGAGTCCTGCCCAACCTTTAGTCCAAGGCAGGTCAGCAAGGCTGCGGGGCTCCGGAAGCTGTCCTAATATTTACCTGTGCTCAGGGCACTCACAGAATCACAGTGTTCAGTCACACATGGTGGCTAATCAGACTGGGATGCTGAGAGTCTGCCAGCCCAGCCCAGGCTCACACCGTAGCATGAAGAGTAGGTGAGGAACCACGGAGAGCCAATATACAGCGGAGAACTGTTTGGGAATGACTTGCTGAAACAGCCCCTGAACTCCATGAAGATTTTGTAAGCAGCACTGTAAAGAGTTTTCTTCAAGGCTTTAGCCCTCGCCTGGTAAAGGAGAACTCACAGCTTCAACAGACTGCAAAAGTAGGGAAAACAGCAACCCAAAGCGCCACAATCCCCGAAAGGAAAAAATCTTTATCCTGTGTCCGGGCAAAGACCGAACTCAGATTTAATGGCAGAAGCCTGTGCAGCTGCTCGGGCAAGGTTTGCTCCCCGGGTTCTCGGGGGAAGGAGGCAATGCGGGGAAGCCGCCTGCAGGGAGCGCAGCCTCGGGCGCCCGGGGCCGGCACGGGGCGGGCAGCGATGGCTCGCAGGCAGCAGTGCGGGCTGCGCTCGGGTCTCGCTGGCTGCCGCCTGCCCGGACCGGGCTGAGCGCTGCTGGGCTGGCACTCAAACCGCTCGGGGTTTGCCGGGGTTACAGCAGGCGGCAGCCACTCCGCTTCCCAGCGTGCGAGAGGTCCGACTTGTATCCTCGTAACCTCTGCTCTAAACAAAGCGGCAACGCCATTAGGCAAGACAAAAGCCAATAAAAAATCTGGATGGTGAAAGAGCCCATGTGTGGGGAAAACGCACTATTGACCCAACAGGGCAGGGAGCAAAATTGCAGTTAAGATCTTATCCTGAGACAGTATGGATTACCCTGATTTGTGGCAACACACTTAAACCTCTCTGCCACAGAAGCTGCTTTTCTGCAAGACACCGCAGAGCAATATTGCAGCAGGAGCGCGGCAATACCCAGCTCGAGGATTGCAGGGGTAAATCCTCTCTGGGGAGGAGCCAGCGCTCCAGGAGCACTTAGCGATGCCAAGACAGAGCTACAGAGCTCTACAAAGAGCTCTCCTGCTAATTGAGCAAGTGAAGGCTTTTTGGAAGAAAAACAAATATATTTGCAGACAGGCTGAAACAATAAAGGGAAATTTAAAAAGCTGAAGAAAGGGACCGGAAAGTCAACAATAGGAATTAAAATCTCAGAAGCTGTTGCCTGCAAACAGGCTGCAGAGGGTGTGCTGCCAGAGAGAACTCACAGCCTCCGTCCTTTCCTCTGTGCTGCTGTGCGTTGCCTGCATGGGAGAGGAGGTGGCTCTGCGAGAGGCTGCAGGAATCGACGTGGTGCTTCAGAGAGCAATAAATCAGCAAGCATCAAAGCCAGAATCTATATCGAGGATTTAAAGATCACAAGTGTTGAAACTAAGAACTTTCCTTGGGGAGGAGCCAAACGCCAGGGAAAGGCAGAGCTGGTGGGGTCTGAGCTGCGGGGAAGCACAGGGCCTGAACGGGAGGTGGCTGTGCAGCACGGCATGCAGCTGGAGCCCCACTGCCCCTGGGAACACTACAGCTATGGAGCTACAAGCAGACCTCTTCCTAACAGGAGAATGCCAAATTCATTCCTCCTGTGGTTCAACCATCTCCATCAGCCGCGATTCCACCCAGCTACAGGGTTGGGATGTAAAAGCCCAGGTTTTGTTGCGTTGCTGGGGTGATGGCTGGGGATGGGAGCACTGCTCACAGCCACTCCAGCACGAAAAACCCCACGCTCTATTATGCACTGACATCCAAACTCACACAATGTAGGAATCAGCCACCAGGAACACAGCAGAGAAAATCACATTCTTACAGAAGACATCCATCTAGCAGTTGGCCATTTTCTCCAGCACAAACCACAAGCCTTTGATGGATTTCCAAGGAGGATTAAACCGTTTCTCAGTTTTGAGAAAAAATTAGGGTATGCCTAAAGTCATTTGCAGTGCCCACATTTAAGCAAGATGCTTGAGTGTATGCTCATATCCCTGCATTTCCTTTAATGTCAGAAGAAGACATGAGCTCCCTGTGCCACTCACAGCACCCAGTCCTCAGATGCCCCTGGGATGGAGCCTGCATTCCCCAGCCACAAAGAAGCTCAAGGAGCTGGGTGCCAACCTCATGCAGCACAGTGAGAAGCACCAACCTTCCCAGCCTCCAGAAGCAATTCCTTAATGCAAGAACCCACCTAGATCCTGCTCCAGCTGCTAAATTAGATGCCAATCACTGCCGTGATGCTCAGTTCTTCCTGACACTGCAGTGAGAGCTGCTGCCCACTGCAGTGCTGCCAAAGGTGCTGCAGCTGAGGGGTGATTCAGTCTGCTTAACTCAGACCTTCTCAAACACTGTGGGCCAGGTTCACATGATAAAATCCAGTCATTCCTTTGAAATGACTTTAGTTTTTGCTATTACTGAAAACTACTGGCTTATTTCATCAGTGTTATTCTGGATTTACAGCAGTGAAAATGAAAGAAAAAACTGAAATTGCCTATCATTGTCAGTTAACTGGGGTTAGCACAGGGTGTGAATTTAAAGCAGAACTGTCACTGAATTCCTTCCCAGATTACAGCAGAATTGGAACAAAGACACAATTGGTTCTGGATTAAAATAGCAGGATTTGAGAATGTGTACTGCAGAGCAGCATCCTCTTCTGTTTTGTAAGTCCAGAATAGCAAGAGTAGCTGTGCAGGCTCAGCAAGGTGGCTCTTCTATTCTGACCTTCTGGGCATCAGGGAGACTGCTTCCCACCTCCTTTCTTTTCCAAACCCAGCTGACTCTCCTGAAAAAGGTTTCTGTTCACACATACAGTATGAAATTCTATAGGGCCCACCTGCATCATTTCCTTTCAGCATTACCTTTTATTACTAAACTCTTAATTTATTTAAAATGGAAAAAAAAAAATTCTCACAGAAAAGCAGAACAAGGATTTGTAGGAGCACAGCAACGTTTTCCAAACATGCTTTCCCCATGAGTCAGGGTCCATCCTGTGCACCAACACATCCTGCAGACTTGCACTAACCTGTGGGCAAAGCTGGAGGTGAGCACAGCCCAGGCACATGAAAGACACCAAGAGAAACCAAAAGGAGAACTTTACATCCCAGGAACAGCCCTACAGGATACACTTTCCCAACAATTTTATTCCCAGGATATCAACACACTGCTAATTCTGCTCCATGCTATGAAAACTGCATCCCTGCTGCTGGACTCACAGGGTTTTGGAGGAGCTCTGACGTCTCTGCAAAAGCAGCAATTATAATAATCATAATCACCACTGCCCTGTGCTGCCCTCACTGCAAAGCACAGGGGTGCCCGAGCTGAGGGTTGTGCACTCAC